GAAATTTGTTGCTTTAGATGTGCTTTTCTGTAACTGCTGTAGTTTCTGAAGCTTTGTTAAATTTTTTTTTTTCTTTTTCATTCATAACTTGAAATTGTGGTTGTTATAGACTGCTGAAGCAATCGAAGATTTCAATAAAGAATCCTTGCCACTGTTTATTTTAGCCAACTGGCGTGGCTTCAGCGGCGGTCAGAAAGGTACTTTAATTTTACACTGATAAGTGAAAAATATACATTTTTGCAAATGAACTTTTTTAGAAGCTTTATTTTCTGAACTCATCACTCGTTAAAAGTCAAAGTTTTCAAGAGTTTAGAAAGTTATTGGTTTTTTAAGGTATTTGTTTTAGATATGTTCGAGATGGTCCTCAAATTTGGTGCTTATATAGTTGATCAATTATGTAAATACCTTAATCCGGTGATAGTTTATATTCCACCCTATGGAGAATTACGTGGTGGGGCTTGGGCAGTTATTGATCCAACGATAAATCCTGTATGCATGCAGATGTTTGCTGACCCGAGATCAAGAGGTGGTGTTTTGGAACCAGAGGGAACTGTTCAAGTGAAAATGCGTAAAGTTAGTGTATAGTATGGTACTTAATTTTCCTTTTATTTCAAATATATGAAGTTTAGAATGAAAGTGATCAGAGAGAACTTTTGGAGAGGAAAAGAGAGATCAGAGAACATGAGAAAAGATTTGCTTTCGCCTTTTTCAAAAGTGTTGGTGGAAGAGATAGGTAAAATATTACAAGTATGAAATTGTGAAGGTTGTACTGATTCTTCAGGGAGGAATTTCTAATGAGTGCCATAGGTTTAATGTTTTATTAATAAATATAAATTTAAAGGATTTGGTACCACTAATGCGACGATTGGATAAGGAAATGATTCGATTAGGAATATTGGAAAAAGAGGGTAACGATGTGAAAGTGGACATCAATGCTCGTATTCAACTGCTAATGCCCACGTATCGCAATATCGCTATAACATTTGCTGATTTGCATGACACAGCAGTGCGAATGAAAGCTGTTGGTGCTGTTAAGGTATTCTCTTCATTTGGGAACTGCTTTCCCTCACCTATTATGTTGGGGGTTGTACTAATATTTTTATTCTTAGCTTGACCAGAATACTTATTTACCATTTTAAAATATCTATCGGTATTACGGTTCTTATATAGGCTCTTTTAAAATTTTGTCCCTGCATTTTCTATTTTATATCTAGTGAGGAAAAAATTGAAATTTATAAAATTTCAGTCATTATTTTTGTTAAACAAAAAGTTTCTTTGAAGAAAGACATTTCAGGAAGTAGTGAAATGGGAAGAATCAAGAGCATTTTTCACACGACGGCTTTTAAGATTGTGCATCGAACATGATATATACAGAGAGGTTAGAAATACATTCAAATCAAATTCGGAAAATCAAAGGGATAAAGTGAAGAATAATGTCATATTATAGGCTGTCGATGTAAAGTGTTTAGAAGATATTCGGAAAATGCAGGAATCTTTACAGCAATACTTTACAAAAACTCGAGATGAAACCTTCTCTTGGTATAATTATCCGGATGAGGATGCCATAAAACTCTTACGTAAGGAAAGGGAACAAATTGTTGCTTTCCTTGTTGGAAACGATTTCTTTACAATTGGAGAGCGTTATGGAATGTAAGTTCATCTGAGTTGAGGATGTAAATACTTTAGCGTAAGAAAATCTACATTCAGACTTCCATTTCTTCCAGTATGATTACTCGTTTAGCTGAAAATGGCTTTTGTTATGATCAGATCAAATCTCTGAAAAATTATTACTTCTAATCAATAGTGAAATAACTCATTCACAGACCTTCGGAGAAGCTTGGAGATTTCGCGAGAAAGTGTGATTTATTAATACGGGAAATGAAGAATGAAAGGTTGTGATCATTTATAGACTAGCTCTTTATATACCGCTATTTTGAGAAAAATTGCGTAACATTAAATGTTCATGTGAGCATTTTTTTTTTTTTTTTTTTTTTTTTTGTTGAATTAATTTTGGATTTGTTTTCATAGTCAACTGGTTTGGAAAAATCGCTTATGGTGAAGGGGATTTTTTTTTCTTTTTTTCATTTATGAAGCACTTTTTGTCGCAGTCTTGTTAAAGTGTTCCTCCAACTTTTCAAGATGTATTCAGTGTCCGAAAACTATTAGCCACGGTTGAAAATATTGCTGGTGAGAAACAATAGCCTTTTTTGACTTTCACTCTGGGCAGTTTCTGCAACGTTTGCATCTTCACTGACTTATCTTTGTGCAAAGCGTTACACAAGATATGTTACTTTTTCATGTTTTCAAAAATCAGTCTTTTCCTGCAATTGTTTTGCTAGAAATTCCGTAGGGTACTTGCTGCTAGCTGTATCAGTTGTTATTCGGTTGCTTTGTTATCATCACTTTTATCAGCAGGTCTTGCCTGTCTGTTCAGCGAAACAGTCAATTTCGTTTTGATTTTGTGGCTTCATTTGTATATATTTCACTTTTTAATCTTAACTTTAAAATATATCAAATTTACAGTGACAGTGCCAATATATTTGCCTTACAAAGAAATAAAATTTATTTGCAAGCGGAACTTGATTCTTTTGTTGTCCATATAAATGTTATGTTCTCGGAAAAGTGAGGGAAAACATTTTCAGGATTAAAATTCATCTTCTTTTTTTTTTTTTTTTTTTTGCAAAAAATTGAGATTGTTACGTCTGGATTGCGTTGTCTAACAGGTTGTGTTCAATCAGTATGAGTCATTATTTATTTCAGTTATGTCGCTGCGGTGTTGCCGCTTATGAACTGAGTGAGGAACACATATATGTAATGGTGTAAGTGATGATCGTTTTCGGATTTGCTTCGTAACTTGGGGAAGTATGTCTAGACACAAATAAATTATTATAAGCTTATACCATTGGTTGTGCATGTACTTTGTGTCATTCATTTGAATAGCACAATAGAACAAAATCAAAAAGTTCATCCTGAGTGCCCCAACAAAAGGACAAGACATGAAATTGAATGAGTAAACTACGTGTTTTTAAATATATTCCCGTACAAAGCTGGAAGTGTCTGCGCAGTTTGCGTAATCACGCCTTATCACAGGAAGTAAGAAAAGAATTTTCAGCAGTGTCAGCGGATAATAATACACTAAAAGAGCGATGGTTTTCAAGAAATAAGATATAAAGGAGCAAACCTAAACTTAATGAATAAGTCGAGTAAGTCTAATCATAATAGCATATCCTTGTTTTTATTGCATTAGGATGATTACTGTTGATTTTGATTTTGGCCATCAAGCATCGACGATAAATCGATTCAGATTACCAAGGATTAATTTTTAAAGGAATTTACTACCTGTAAATAAGAGGAGAGAAATAAATTTTATTTATTAAGCTGACATAGTTGGTATGTTCGTAAGTTGTTTCACCCTAAACTAATGATGTTGCTGAAGGATAAATACAGAAATGTAGAGAAACTGATAATGCATGCGGAAAAACGAAAATGTCTAAGGCTATCACTAAAATGTTAAAGATTATATTCAGATAACCTATCTGGCTGAAATCCAAAGCATCGGTATTTTCCAAGTTTCTAAAATTTCTGGCTTTGAGTTCAACTTCATTGATGAATTATGATTTCACTTTATGGAGAATATAAAAAATATTGGAGATAACATGACAAGGAGGAATTATTCTTTTATCTGCAACAGGTTTGCTTGAATTTTTATATCTAATATTAAAAACAAATAAGCTTTCCGCTTGTAGAAATTTCTATTACATATTTGTTTGCATTCACAAAAAAAGTGCTCATAAACTGTGAACAAATTCCATAGAACTTCAACCAATTAAACTCTGATGACCAGCTTAATATTAAAGATTATCTGAAAAAACAAAAATCAAAGTTGACAAAACAGTAAAAATAGTAATGTAACCATTTTTAATGTAAACTAAATAGATGGAATTAAGTCAGCAAACAACAATTTAACTAAAAGATTTAAAAATTGGGACATTGTAATCATATAACAGTGTTAGAAAAGCCAAATTTGTATATATTTGCAAAGAAGTAATAAAAGTTTGAAATGTACAGCTTTTGCCTATGAAACGATTGAAAAATTAAAGGAAATTAACTACCAAGTCATTTATCACAAAATGTCCACACCAATCGTTTAATGTTCTACGGAAATGCAGAAGCAAAACGGAATTAATACTGCGCTCTTTAGGCTTATTCTTTTTTGCACATTTTATTGAAGAAATTTCGTCATGCTACAGACATATATGCCTTATTTTTTTATATAGTAAAACGATAAACTTACCGGTAATGATATGAACAGTGGTTTATTAAAGCGTTCGTCTGAGATAAACTGAGATACAAAATGAAGCATTTTATCGTAGTAAGGATTTGCTTCAGCGGCTTTAGTGACTGATGGTATGCAGATGAAGTTAACGGATTTTTATACACAGATATTCAAATGACAAGCTTGGCTGGCCATCGTTTTCCACCAAAGCAAACGAAACCGACTGACAGGGAGCAGAGAAAATTTCGCCTTAATTCCCAATATATCATTCCATTAAAATTATCAATTAAATAGTGCTGCTTCAAGCGCCACCTCTCCTAAAGTACGATTTGTGATACGGTGGCTCTACTTTGGCACTGTGCCGACCTCCCTGGCTTTTTTGTTGAAGAATTAGTTCCAGCAGTGATTGGTTTCTGGGTGCGAGGGGTTCCGATTTTGTGGAGATTTTTTAATGTATTTTATCAACAAGCCTAATTGCATCCTGTATGGACGGAGTTAAGTTTCTGCATCGTTAGTTGCCGAAATTTGCACGTGTCGAATTTAAAATCCACTCATAAATCATGTAGGGAAGTATAAGATGTCGTAATCTTGAACTTCAATTTCTAACCTTCTCTGCTTAAAGTGTTTTAACTTATCAAATGACGTATCATACATAGCATCTACTTTTTAAATCAATGCTGTTTCATGTTCAGCATTATTGTGAAGATTTTCAGTGAAGAATTAAATGGTATCTGGGCGTAGTGATGGTTCACCTGCATCACGACGCCTTACACTACCGCAGTTGACATCATATGACAGGTCACGCAAACCACACACGTTACGTTCCGGTGTTGATACAAAATCTATTCATTTTGATTGGATTAGTAAAGAGTTGGAATGTGGCATCTGCGAAAAGACAATACAAAATACGATGGTTGTGAGGGTGAGAACAGATACTTTTGAACTAAATGCAGGATAGTTCACTCCTTTTTTTGTGTGTTGCTCGAAGTGAATTCACTATCCTATTCATGTTCTTGTCTCCCTTGAAAATTCTAGTTGTCTTCCGCAGTTGTTGGAAGTGATGATTTCATATAGTTTTTCATTCCAGAATTGTATGCATCGTTTTTGTGCAGATTGTATATTGCAAAGAATACACACTGGAGCGAGGAAGTGTCCCTCATGTCATAAAGTTCTTCCGAAAAAGACACCACTGAAAAGTGATGCAAATTTTGATGCTATTATAAATAAGGTATTTTTTAAATCGGAAACTAAGAAATTTTGAGGTGTTTTAACTTCGTATTTCCGGAAAATTCGTAGTCACCTGTTGCGTAGGGCGCTTGAACATTCTTCTCTTTTTTTTTTTTTTTTTTTTTTTTTTTTTTTTTACATCTGCAACGGGTTGGGTGCATGGCGGAGGAACTAATGTTTAAGATGTGGTGCTTGTATCAGGCAGTTCATATCAAATTGCTATCACTTCAGTTCACACTGTCAGTCGAAAGGAGATGTGTGAAACGTCCGATCACCGAGTCAAATAATTTATGTAAGTTGTCATTACATTTTATGAACGTCATTGAGGCGGAGTATATTTACATTTTATTATTCTATAAACTAATGGTGTGCGATGCAAGATTGTTTATCAAGAGGCGGTGCTCAGAATTGTTTATCATATGACAATCAAAATATTGTAATCAAATGTAATCAAGTAAAAAAAAAATCTATTTTTTTTTTACTTGATGACTCAAATATTTTTCAGGTTTCACCAAGAAGAGAGTTTTTGATAAGAAATCATCTATTAAACGTTTGACGAGTTGGAATACAGTAGTTCCTTCATCTTCATCAGAATGGACACCTTCGAAAAATGCTAAGGCGTCGGGAAAGGTCTTATTTTTAGATTTATGAGACTTTTCATATGTTTGTTTTTTTATGTTTTGATAGGCAATTATACTGACTGTTTTTACTTTTATAATCTCGCTTTCTCTTCTTTTTTTAAATAATATGCAAATGTTTAGGAAAGTATATTTCAGATAGATGTCAGTATTAAAGTGAGTAACACTATTTTTAAATTTTTTAGTGCGATTCGATGACAGATTCAGCATCAGACATACCTTTAGAAATAAAACCACCGTTATTGCCTAGCATGCATTCCGATGCATCCGATCCTCCGCTCACAATTGATGAAGATTCTTCAGATGGTTATTTTTTCAATTTGTTGATTTTATTGAAATTGATAGATAAAAAGAATTTCGAGCATTTTTGCTGAAACAAAAGGAATATTTGAGGTTTTGTTTTTTTTTTTCTTTCTTTTTTCAGAGAAATCGTCTTATGCGTAAAAGCAGTTCTTTTTTTCATATTAATAATAGACTTCTTACTGAAACAGCTGACATACTGACATCTTGCTTTAACTACGGTTAGATTTGCTTTAGATGTTTATCCGAATTTCGAACAACCAACAACATCGTCATATGCAGAGGGTGAAAACAGATTAAATGTTAATGATACAAGTCAAAAGAGAACAAAAGTAAATTTTTGACAACAATCCTGTGTCTTCTTTAATTCATTTTAAGGTGGTTAAAAGTGAAGTATCTTTTTTAATTCTCTCTTGAAAATAGTTTTTGGCTCTGAGTTATTAAATTTACTATTCCATTGCGCTAACTAAAAATTGAAGTAATTTTCTAGCGGTTGAACGCCTTGCATTAAAAATTTTTTCAGTCGAGTCGGTTGGCATCAAATCACTGTGAAGTGACTCCAGTCGTTGTTTTGCAGAAGTCTAGGAGTCATGGTATTTTTTTTGTCGCGTAGTCAAATTTTGAAATAATACTTGTAAAATTTGGGAACTGAATGTCGAATCTTGACTTTCAGTATCGAATTGTTACTTGCAGAACGGCTTAATGGAATGGCTGTAAAGAATGCTCAGGTTAATGGTAAAAACGAGCGTTCTGCAAAGTGCTTGAACGTCTATCCTCTTCTTGGTCCATCTACGCACCTTGTAACAAATCAAGTTAATTCAAATTTGAATGTAAGATTTATAAATTTCCTTCAATCTTCTTATATATACGGTATTTCGCTATGTCTGGTGTACATCGTATTTCACTGTTGCAGTTGTTCGTAGAAAAAAAATTTGTTTTTTCAGCTTTCAACTACTGTTTCGGTTTCTGGGATTTCAAACGGAAGTTTGCTTCATGCCAATGGAAATAGTTAGTATTCTTTTTTGAAATGAATCGTATCGTAATATATTATTGCGAATATTCCTAATGTTTCGTTATTGTCGAGTTTTTTTTTTTTTTTGCAATGAAAATTTGATTAAAAAAAGGTAACAAAGTAAAACTTCCTTGTGATGTGAGTATCAAGGGTTGTCGAGCAGTTTTATAGTTGCCGATAAATATCTAGGAAACATGGTGTTATAGTAAGGCACATTATTTTTATTAAAATATAAAAAAAAAAAAAGTTTTATTTTCGTTCATATTTTTTTCTGGAGGATATTCACAAAAATGTACTGACGATTTCCATAAGATGTTTTTGCAGTGAAAAGAACAATGAATCCCAAAGTGGGTGATGGACTGTTGTTAACGCTATCTTTAGGAAGCAGTATCCTGGGAGAAGATGTAATGATGATGTCACCACGTTCTTCTGAGTATTTGCTGATGTCAGGAAAGCAGAGGTTATCGTCAGGAATAGAATCAGAACTTGTTCTTAATCCTGATGCAAGTGTAGTGAGTGATGACTCACTACCTATTGCTGCTAAACATTTGCGATACATTATCACATGTCCAAATACTACAGGTTTCTACGATGTATTTTGGCCACTATCAAGTCAGTAGTATTTTGCAGTTTTAGACTAGTGTCGTAATGTACGATATATTAATTCATATTTGTACTTGTAGTTGAACTGAAATATAAGTAACAGTGAGTCATGAAAAACTTCGTTAGTTTTGCTTTAAACGCGCTGGCAATTATTGGAACAGTTACGAGTTGCAGTTGGTCATTTATGTGAATACATACTGCAGCGAATCAGGGTGGAGTCACGTGCTGAATGGGGCAGAAAGTACAGTGATAAGTGTCTACCGGAGGTATTCCATTTTTTTTTTTTCCTTTTTGAATACAATAAAAAACCCGAAATCCTGAAAATGATATCAGTCTAGAGGGCGTAATTACGGCTACAAATTTACTGTTAACAGCTCAGATATATGAATTATTTTTTGATCACTCACCATTCTGATTTCATTTTACAGCGCGTTCTCCTGTGTCCGGTAAAGTCTGATCTAGCTCTAGATGATGTGCTCGTGGTAAATGAAACGGGAGAGGGTCAGTTTACAACTTTAAATGTTGGTGAACGGAACAGCGATCCGAAGTCAGCTTCAGTTTTTACCATTAATTCACCATTTACTGGTAAGTTTACTGCGACTCGTTCTTGTTCAGTAGTTACCTTTCGGTCGAAAGATGTTATCTTAATACCCTCACCTAATTAGTTGTATTATAATGATAGTTATTTTAAAATATAAAGCATGACAGGGTTATGGATATCAGGTTTGTTTCTGAATAAGTTATCTGCTGCAACCGATTGCCTTTTCGTTATTATTTTTCTTCTTGAATCGTGATTAATATTTATAGGGGCAGAATCATCCTGCTTAATATCTGTCCTGGTTTCCATAATCACTGGCTCGTTTTAAAGAGTTAGTAACATTGTTATTAAGGAATGGAATTTTTTAAGACAACATACTGGTATAATAAAGTAAAATGTGCACAATAAATTTGAGCTTTTTCACTATTTATCACTTGTGCATTGTTTTTTAGCACTGAGTGAGAACCAGTCAATTTTAAATATTAATTGTGCAGCTGTGAAAGATTTTGTGTATTTTAAAAGCTAGTGTTATTTTAGATTAGGTTTCCAGATGATTTGATTGTTTTTTTTTCAGCATTGGATGAATCGATAACAATTGAGCAGTTGAAAGCAGAATATTGGGCGAATAAAAAGAGACCACTGAAACTTATTTTTAAATTTATTGGAAAGTCGTAGCGGAAGTTGATTGTTTGCTTTTTTTCTGTGCGCAGGATATGCACGAGAAAACCATGCATTAGTTTGAAGGAGTCTCTATTATTGAGGTCAAAATACCCGCTCATATCTTGTCCAGTTCAGTATTTGCGAGGGAATTGTTTTCATATTAGTTAATTCGCTGATATTCTAGTTCGCACCCGAAAGGTAAAATAATCATGTTTTTTTTCTTCAAAATATAAGAATTTAATCTCAGGCTTAGAAATTTCGGGATATATAATTGGTGTTCGTTCTTGGTGGTATAGCATAAACAGCGTTTCGAATTTTGTTTAATCACTTTAGCAATTTTGACTGACAGGGTAGTATGTGGAGCACTTGTTAAAACTATTACATGTCTTACTGTGTTTGATACACGTAGCATATAGCTTGTATTGTGCCCGGATTTCAGCAATTGTGATACTTTACGCCATCCTAGCAACAGAATGACAGTGAAAAAGAACTAATGTGGGGATTTTAGAGATCCGATTCTTTTGCGTTTTTTCTAAAAAAAAACAGCTTTTGTAAGTGTTCACCTTGCTTCTGCAATGGTTGTTTAGTTTGAAGAAAACCGGGGTGACAGACTGCATCGTGTTTATCATTTGAAAGTGCTATCTATAAATTTTGAGATCTTCAAGAAGCTAGGCTTGGCTCTTTACTAGCTCAGGTTCTGTATACAGATTTAATTCCAGGAGTACCTGTATTGTTATGTCTTCCCATATTTGGATTTTGTCGTTTATGTCAAAAATAAATTATGTCGATCGACTCTTTTGAACCTTTTAAGTAGTTGCGCAGACTTACTTGATACTAACTCTTAAATGTTCCAAGGCAAAAAAAAAAAAAAATTGCACTTCGGTGTATTCATATACGGTGATTTGAGTTGTTAGAAACCCAATAAACTTGATTGCAATTCCTCGAGGCGAACTGCTTACAAACAGTATTCAGTTGTTGCTGCTGTTTATCTGTGTTTTAGCGCACAAGATGTTCGAAAGCAGTTCGCGTACAAAGTTTCGTGCAAGCCTGTGCACTGAATCTCATTCAAAGACGAGTTTTGTGCAGGCTATAAAACCTTGGTTCGATCTGGAAGGACTTTATGACGTTATGCAGTGAGATGAAGACGAGTTTCAGTCGAAGTACGCAAGCATATAATTGATGGTATGTTACAGTCAAGGTGTAACGAGCTTGGAGGTATTCACCAAACTAAACTGTACCAGGTTCCTTTCTACAGCTACAAATATATGACCTCTAGAGCTGCATATTGAACATAACGTTACTGTAGATAACATCCTCAGCTTTAAATTTTGCCTACACTGCACACCAGGCATGTCACCTCAGCCATTTGTATAGTTAGAGATTTCTCATTCTCACATGCTTATATCGTTTCCCAGAGACAAACACTGCGATTTCCTGTGACTGAATTGGATATATATTCTTGAGTCAAGCATTCTGATCCTGATTTACGGGATATAACCGAACATTTTTAATATTAGCATTGCAACCTACGTGATTGTGCCGAAACCTTATTTTAAAAATCCATATATAAATCGCTACAACTATTCAGTGTGAATACAAAAATGTTTCTCCATCGCTGTTTAAAACGCATCAATAGAAAAAATTGGCAGTATGACAACGGTTTTGGTAACTGAGGTCAATTACAAAATACAAATGCTAAGGTGCAAACTAAAATGTAAGAAATAAGTCACACCTAATAAATGGTGCGCTGAGTTGACGTGTCCGAGTAAGTCAACCGTAACAGGCATAGTTTAATCTTATAATTTAATCTTGAAGTAATCATGGATCAACACTTCCCCAACTTTTAGTGACAGTAACACAATCTTCCCTAGAGGAACAGAGACACGCCCATATATTTTGTGTTCTAAGATTCAATGCACACAAAAAAGTGAGTTAAAATATGCGGCATGGGGAATCTAAATAAGGTTTGGACACGTCAGTGAAATTGCAGGAGCACTAAAGAGTCGAGTACAAACAAATAATTTATGCCTTATATGATGCTTTGCATTCGATCTCCTGGTTCAAATGTTACTGGAGATGACTAATCCCTAACGATGAAATTCTGAACTGAATCTGATAACTACAAATAGGTGCTACAAAAACTATCGAGGAACTTATTTCATGATAGCTCTCTTAAGCAGTAGTTCCTCACCGACAGAAATGTTTACATTGAAGCAAAAGATAGTTACAATCAAAAAATTTGATTGAGTAGACAAATGTGGGTTATAAATGGAGTGTACAATTATTCCTTGCCGTCAGCGTCTACGCTCGCTCTCCACGGATTCGACGTGCAAGCTGGATATCCTTCGGCATAATGGTAACACGCTTAGCATGGATTGCGCAAAGGTTTGTGTCTTCAAAAAGCCCCACCAAATAAGCTTCACTTGCCTCCTATAAATTGGCTTAACCTAGGTTAACGGAATAAACCTCATAATAGGAATGAAATTTAGCCATCCAGAAAACAATGAGGCGCAATAGGCTTATATATGTTTAACTATAAAATCAAGAAAAGCACAAAAACATTACCTGAAGTGCACCAATAGCAGCAGACTGAAACCGCAAATCGGTTTTAAAGTCCTGCGCGATTTCGCGAACTAGACGCTGGAACGGCAATTTGCGAATAAGCAGTTCAGTGGACTTTTGATAACGACGAATTTCACGAAGTGCAACTGTACCTGGGCGGTAACGATGTGGCTTTTTCACACCACCAGTTGACGGTGCTGATTTACGAGCTGCCTAAACAAAGGTGATCTTTTCTATTTGAGTATAGTTAACACTGTTCTAGGACATACACACTAATCAAACATGACTTTCAATCTTAAATACTTCATAAGACATTTTAGACACTTTCAAACAGTCCAGTTATAACATAACAAAAATCCTTTTCTTAAAACATGCTGGTTAATAAAACTTCAATAATTCAATTTTTCTTCCGACGAATGCTTACGGTAAAAAATTTTTTTACCGTAAGCAACAGCAACGTCCAAGCATTACAGGAATGCCCAAAGGATGTACATCAACAGAGAGACAATAAAGGCTGTTGCCCTAATGTTAAAATTCAGTTTTCAGTGGAGTTTTATATAAAATAGAGTATTGCTGATAGAAAAGCATGAATCAATCTGTATGTTCACGTTTTTTTTTGTTTTGTTCAATAATAATAAAGAAACCTTAGTGGCAAGCTGTTTCCGGGGAGCTTTACCACCAGTTGATTTGCGAGCTGTCTGCTTTGTACGTGCCATCGTCTCAAGCCTTCTTTGCAATCAGTCGATAATTTTGCAAATTGAAAAGAATTTTACAGTACAAATTTCTGCAAGATCAGCTTCTAAAATTCAGGAATGTTGTAAAAACTAACAGATTTTCAGCTGTGCTAGTGCAGCGTAATAGACCGAAATGATTCCTATGCTGACTAATGCTGCAGGAATTAGACTAGTCATTCCGTTTATCAGTTCTTCATAAAATCGAAATATTTTTGTATAATTTGTATCAACTTCCTTAAATCTAGAACTGTCTCATCCTATCCTAATTAAAAAGTCTCCGAAGTAAGATGACAATACCATTATGCTATTTTATGAAAGAGAAAAGACAGTAAATGAAGACGAATAACACGATACATATTCGGTATAGTTAGGAGTGTGAAACGATCGGGGTATAACCTTATTGTATACCTTATTTACAATTACTCATTGCAACTGTCACTACAGATCAGGAACCACATCACGGGGATGTCTTGAAACAGACACAGCAAAACAGATTGTGCAACTGCAGACATCCGTACCCCATATAACCTTTATTAAAAACCAATAATTGGCAAATTGCCAAAGGTTTAATTGCAGTAATAAATCTTATTGTGGAAGTGATGTAAAAAAATACAGAAACATCAAATACTCGGAGAAAACACTAGTCGATTGAATTAATCCGTGTGGAACAGTTAGTACAACACAAAGAACATTGAACCCATTCTATCTCAAAACGTTTTATTTGTTCTTCCGGAGGTAAAAAGTTAAGACAACAGAACGGTGCGGCTATACTCCTCTTTTATAAATGACAAAACCGCAGTGTAAACAATTTATTCAGCGCTTGAATATCTCAGGAGCTTAAAAAACCAACAGTTACAACGTTCCTTTCCTCAACTCTTTCATCTTACGCCACGCCAAAATGTCAATACGAACAAAACCAAGCACTCGGTAACAACTTGCAGGCGAACAATAACGAGAGCGTAAGTCATGCATGCAATATGGACGCGACACACCACAACGTTCTGCCTAATGCACATAAGTATGCGTGCATGTTTATACATGCACAACATTTAAAACCACAGCAGACGGTTTCCGCCGTCTTTATCTTTCCGTTCGCTATCGTGGTGTGATGCCAACGTGTAGTACGAAAACCCTGAATCCCCATACCTCGTCCACAGAAACACATCTTTATGCCTAGCTTCCAGAAATATAGCCAGTACAACATACTTGCCTGCCACGCCTACACCACAGTGTTCTCTTCGCTGAACATGTAAATTATGCGTGTGCACGAAATAGTGCCTATCTCTAAACATCTACTGATATCTGTGAGGTTGAAATTTGCATGTGCGGAGAGGGCGTTACTATGCAACCATCCTTTCAGTCAACTTCATGATATAAGCTACTATTCCATATGCCCTCTGATCTACAATATCGTAAACTTAAGAAGACATGAAGAACGTGCTTCCTCGTCTCCTCACATCAATGTTATACGAGTGGATTCTTGGGCTAATATTGACACAGGCGCATATAATCACCTTTCTTTGTCATTTGATGTGATAAAAGAGGCTGGAAATTAGCATAAATGAGCACCAGCACAAATGATTCTTATAAACAATGGTAATGAGTTAGACGTAAGATTACGTCCCACTCCTTGTTCAATCACTGAGGAACTGAATTATGCTCCCACAATTATTTCCGGACAAAACTTCATAAAATAATTCCCATCTCCTTCCTTCCTTATGTTTGCAGTTTTATTCTCCAGTGATGTTCCAGTGATTTTGTTTACGCTCAAATGACAAATCAGTTGAATAAACTTTTGATAAAAAAAAAAAAAACAATGATAGAAAAAAGAAAAGAAATGGTAATTTAGTCTATAATAACCCAGAATTTACATATATAAAGTTTATTCAACTGATTTGTCATTTCAGCGTGAACAAAATCACTGGAACATCACTGGAGAATAATAAAAAAAAACAGAAAATTTTTGTCGAATATCTGCGACCGAGGTCCAAATTTCAATGAAGAACACAGCTGAAATCAAATTTTTTTATGATTTCAATTTGTAAAAAGCTTATTTAAACATTGGACAGCTCATTTATTTTTGTTGGAAAAACACGTTTGCTACAAATCGAGAAAGCACATGATCATAAATATCAATTGGAACTTGACGCGCAAGTACGTTAACTACACCAAAGGCAAATATATTTGCAGTGACACCCTAATAAAATTTCGACAGAGCTATCAAAAATATCTGCAACAAAATCGAAAAAATTTTAAGAGCACTGCCTACATGGTTAACCTATCCCCGGAAAGGCCAGATTTCAAAGGAGGACACAAGAAATAAGCTCATATGAGCTTAAAGGAAACATCTCGCAAATCACCTTTATAAAAAGCATGGATATGCTAATGAAACCGAGGAAAAAACCAACGAATAAAAGCGTATGCAGGAATGTTGATAATATATCTCCACGTTCCTAAAACAGTAGTGAAGCGGACAGAAAAGTAAACTTATAACTGCTTTGCATATTTTTATGATGATAACTTATCCGTTTTGTAGTACAATTTAATCCATTATTACGAACAAGAAAAGTTCTCTTTGAATCAAAAAGTTAATAAATTTGAGTAGGAAAAATGGAGACTTATGACTGGATACATACGAACATACAGATACAGATATATGACTGATAACTAACGGGAACTTTTGCAGTCATATTAATAAAACAGTTGTTCTAAAAAATAACACTCCCTCAACTAAAAAACTTGTTCTGGAAAAACTCCTGTGCAAGTATGAAACATACTTCCACCTGTCATTATTTTCAATAACCACAAAGCCCACTTTGCACATCTCATTGCAGTGAAGTGAAGAATATGAAATACCAATAAAAAAACATTTTATAGTCCAAATGTATGACTCCGTTTATTGCTGGAAATCATCAGTTCCGGATAGGCGAAGACGCTAAATAAATATATCTCTCGAAACGTGCTTTCATAACTGGTTATTGAAAGTAGAGTACAACTTCGTGATAAAATATGTGACTGGAAAATGAACATTGATCAGTTTATAGCTTATAGTTACCACTCCATAATCAAAAACCCGCAACCTCACACATTATCCACATGTTTAAGAGGTTTAATCGCAGTGGTGACATTCTCATGGATATATGAGTCTTTAAGTGACTGAACGATTGCAATAATACCAAACTGAAAATCGCTTTAATAATTTTGAAGCTATCTTGAATGGCATGAACAATATCATTTCGGATAAGCAGGCAATTGTTTTCCTGTATGTAATGGTGTCTTTCTGCAGATCGAAAATCACAGACTACGACTTCCCTCAGCTACCTTTAACATTTTCTTTTTAGTATTACTAAACAACAAAAATAGCCAGGAAAGGAAACGAAGGAAATATCGAAGAACGATTCTATTGAAAAACGGATGAGCTCAGTTTCACACTCGTCTTCCAAAACTTTCCGTAATAAATTACATATCAGAGAAATTTACCAATCTTGAAAATGCCACTGTTCCCTTCCGTTACAGCTGCCACATATGTCATCCCATGACCAACTATTTCCCTATTCTCTTGCTGAAAAAGGAAAGCAACCAACAGCAATACTGCAAACCAGCAATATAATATATCCCATTCCACAGTGTTTGTATATGTTTGCATGTATGTCTGTAGAGTGTGTATTGAACTCACTCATAATGACAATGCTTCAAAACTTCGGGATCTGTAGTTTGTTAATATCGTTTACAGAAATGAACCCGCAATGACCGTTCTACGAGACACTGAAGGGCATAGACTTCCTCTAAAATTGTCTGATACATAGATACCTTGGCCACCGCCTTTATCTCCACAAACGTATATCACTCCTTATCACTACCCAGTTAATTACCCGACCAACTCAATGACTACACCACCCTAACTTCCCCCTACTTGATTATACCAGGCAAAGACTGCCACTCAAAATATCTATCACAGATCATCACTGCATAATTAGGTGTCATGAAAATTCGATCTCAACCACGCCTCTTTTACAGATTGTTTGCTTTGCACTTCCTTGCTTGTCGGTTTATAGGTTTTTCATTTGCCTTTAGACTAGAAATGTATCTGAAATAGCTATAAGGTAAAAATAACGCAAGTTGTTTAAAATTAAGAAGTATAAATTCAGATTTCAAGTTCTGGGTTATGATATCGGAGTCACAAGAATGGATCCTGCACACTATATTGCATTTGTTATTTACATTATGCATTGTGTATCCACCAGTTGAATTTCAACGTGCAGGCTTCACTATCCAAACATTATTTTCTGGAATATTGGGTGTGGAACGAGATGATTTTGTTGGATATCATTTGAGGAGGTCCTTATTGACACGTTTCATACATTTCTGCCTACCTTTATGTACGTTTTGTTATTTCACATCATTCCTTCATTAAGATCACCATTCATATTTATCCGTACAATGGAAACATTTTGCTACTTAATGACTGGTGCTTGATTGACCTACTTCTTTGTTATTTCCAAGGTGTTATTCTTATTTTTTGTTAAGACTGCGGTCATGTTCTGCGGAACGTGATCCATATTTGAACTCACTTATATCCATATATTTCATTACATTCAATTACATTTATTTCTTTCACTTGTAGTTTACTTCGTCTATTTATCGATGGTTTTACGAGAAACAATATTTACCCCTACACCACAAACTGTTTTGCAGTTTGGTGCATACGTATCTATCGCAATCGCTGGAGGTAATGTATCCTTTTATCACTACCTTCCATGTATCTGGGTGACTCGACTACATAATAAAACGTTTTACTTTTCTGAAAAATGAACTTTGTGCCGTAGAGACTGTATATGGTAAGCAACGGATCGTCCCATTTCTTTTGTCTCGTTCAATTCACATTCAGTTTCTCATCTTTTGGAATGGCTTGCAGTCGCTGCCTTCATAATGTTGTATCATTGGTGGAATGGATTTGATAAACATTCGACTGTGCACTGTTTGAAAAGCTATCTTGGCAGTAATGGAAGCAGTTGGCGTGTAGTAGCTGAATCAATCAACGCAGAGTATCGCAATGTGCTGGATACGTTAAGCATAACTCTATCAGGTTTGTTTCTTTTGAACTTATTTGTTTATTAATGTTATTTAACATATCTTCAGTGCTCTTCATGGTTTTTGGTTAAATGCGCAAAATTATGCGGTTTTTTTTAAGTTTTTAAGCTTAGTTTTGTTATTTTTTGTAGCTTCAATCAACAATTTTAATAAAGGCGTAGTTTGTTTTATAGGTATAGATCGTGTTGTGATGACATCTTCGTGGATTTTGTATATTACTAATTATACATTGATTTGCGCTCAAGTGAGTGATGTATCACTGGAGGCTATAAGAGCTGACGAACATCCAGTATTACTTGTTATTTATTTTTCGTTTTCTCTCTTCTTTGCTTTACTGTTTTTACTTCCTTTGCTATTCCTTCATTTATTGTCTCTTCCTGTACGATTTACTCCTATCGTATCAAAACAATTTATAGAGTTCGGTTTACCTACTGTAGATAAATATAATGAATTTCTTTTACATAACTTGAGTATAAGGTGGCTTTTATGTTCATTCACGTTGTTTTCTTAAAAGCGAAAGCCGTCTTTTATTAGATTTCTCACCATACACAAAATGGTGGTTCGGCGCAGTTCATCAACATATGCGTAAGCAGTACAACACAACGTTTCGAACCATTTATCATCAGATATGTTAAATTATTTGTTGACGTGCAAATTAATTGAGAAGTAGTAACTTGTTCTCTTTTCTTTTTTTCTGCTTATTCATCTCTCATTAATGATGAAAGCAAGTGATTTTATCTTTATCCTTATTTCATATAATTTAGTTTCAGTGATATTGTTATTTTCAGAATACGTGCAGAATCATTCCGTGATTTGCGTAACAAGCTAGATAAACCTATTGCTGTAGCTCGAGAAGTAGTATTGAAGCAATCACTTAATGAGCGTTTCGTTGAAGCATTCACACAACAAATTGCTTTGAATCCTAAATATGAATATGACGAGCCGGAAGTCAGTTTTGGTCGTTATAAAAAAAAAAATGACATTTCAAGTATTTCATTGAAGATGGTCAAATAGTAAAGAAAAATTTGGGGTAAAGTTATCTTTAATTATTATAAAATGGAGACTGATCGAAGCAGTTACGGATTAACAAAATTTATTAGCTACTGTTGTATTCAACTGCAGTTGAAGTTTGAAGGAATCAGTTTCTGCAGAAATGTTAAATCATTGTTTTACCGATTTCAGTAACCAAAAACACTTCATCTGTCAAATTGTGTTAGACTCATTTTAAACGTAAATGATCACGATTTTCGTGAACGTAAACGACCACGGCAATGAATAGGGCAACTAGTGGGGAAAGTGTAGCCCGTATGACTTACTAAGTTATAGTTTCTCAAATAAGTATAGCCTAGCAGATATTCAGACCGGAGATTTTGATGTTTGCTGTTTTAGCACCAGATACAAATAATGGTGTTTACTTATTGGATTCAGCAGAAGACATCTTATAAATTACTAGTTGCAGTAAAATAGTTCATTTTGCCTCATCTTAGGCTCTTTGTTTATTAGTCTTATTATGCATTATATAACAGTTACGGGGCTTCAACGATATCCATCTTTAATTCATCATTAGTCCTCTCTCTTTGAAACGTTAAGTCTTCAACACCTTAAAATACGAGTGCAATTAGTTTTTGTCAATATTTAAACATTCAATTTGCTTACTGTTACGGTGCATTGCTTTTTTTTAGCGCCTTGAGCCATGTTTGGGTTGCTCTACTGAGATGTCGAACATCAAATTATGGAAACAGTGTCTGAATGATATTCAGGATGATATGGGTGCAGAAGGACCTAAACTCCATTGCACGCAATGCTATTGCAGACCTATGTGGTATGTTCTCTGGTACTTCTTTGTGAACTCATTTGAAAACCTTTTAACCGTCGGATTGGTGAATAAGTTACTTTTCTCTGTGCCTCAAAAGATTTTTTTTATATTTTCAATTTTTAAGAAAATCCTGTATATCCATGTATCTCTGCAGGTGTGACACATGTATGGGACTTATCTTTGCATCTAAACAAGATCCACATCATCCCGAACTGTGGATGCCTGGCAAAGCTCAATGTCCAACATGTCGAGCGACATTCTGCGTTCTTGATGTTGCGTTTTTAAATATGACTAAGAATTCATAGAGGAAAAATACGCATTTATTTTGCAGTGCACGTCCGATAGACGGAAAGATGGCCTCACCAACAAAAGTGCAACGGTCAGTTCTCAGCGTTATTGACGAATGATTAAAATTATTAGCTAAATATATAGGATTTCCTATTCTCCACGTAATGTCAATGATTCTCCAAATTTGTTTGAATAGAATTTATGTTATTAAATGAAACGGGGTTAATTTATTTACTGAGAATGAGCATAATACGTTTGTTATCAATAAAGTTATCATTATTAATTTGAAAAACGTTTTTCTGCAGAACGCATGTATTTTCCGCGACGATTACATAACAGACATTGTTCTTCACCATAATCTTGCAGCTTATCTATGCACTGTACAAATTGGCTTACATGCAGTGCAGTATACTTCGTTTTCCAGACATGTCTTTTTAGGAATGTAGGGAACGCATAATGAACACATTTGTTGACTATTTCAGCACTGTAGAAAGTATTGCCAATAGTCAATACTTAGGTCAATACTTAGAAAGTATTGCCAATAGTCAATACTCAATACCAACTTCTCATTCTGTTTATCGATGCATTCGCTTCCTATTTTGTGCAAAATTCTGGGATATTGTACATTCGCACTTAGTGGGTCATAGTTAATTAGGCTTTTGGAACTTTCCCATTACATTTTATGAATGTTTTGGGAAATTCCTTTGCTGATGTAACATTGGATTTCACCTACCAGTTGCATTGTTAGAGGTAGACTATTTATTTTGGCATGAGAACTTTACACATGCACAGCTTGTTTGAACGGACGGAACAAAACTGTGACATACATATCTTACAGACATTGTTTCCGCATTACAATATGACATATGGATGTCATGGTAGGAAAACGAAACAACAGCCGAATATTAAAATACGGTTTGAATTCTTGCGATTGATACACCACAACAAGATGGACTGTCAATACTGGATCTAAAGGATTAAATAATTGCATTAAGGAAGAACTGGTATTCTTTTGAGAAAGTTTGCAGATTCTTTTGAAAAAAAAGGAAAAAAAAACTAAGCAGTAAGGACCTTGGTGTAAAGAGAGAGGTTATGTGAAACGTTTATTTTGGTCACAGTGGTTTTCAATCTATTAATACTTTCGAATAATATGACATTGATTGACTATTACATTCAATGCCAGGGTCCCCTCTTCGCACATGCGGTTCGCTCGCTGTAACGTCTAAAAGTATTTGCGGAAAGCTGTTTTTCCTTTCCTCATGTATTTCTGGATTTATAAATATCATATACCCTGATATATGACTAGGTCTTTGAAATCGCTTTTCGTTATTTAGGTGAAGAAGTTAAATATTTGCTGTTGTGATGAAGTCCGAAGAAATTCATGAGTATGTCTATCTATCAGTTTCACAAGCCTGCAATAAGTAGCAGTAAGGTTTTGGAAAGAATCAAATGACCTCATTGTTCCCTGCGCTGGTAATTATCTTCCGGTATTAATTTTGAGGCTGTATTTGCATTCTTCTTACTGCAAACTGTAAAATTTACTGCTACTTATTTGTAGCATGCATAAATATATAATTGCCTAAGCTTTGTTGTTTTTTTTTACGTTTATTGCTTGTTAAACCCGGTTAAACTCCAGTATAGCTCCAGCCAGCGGAAATTAAAACAAAATTGAAATTTATTTATTGGTTATTATTACTGCGGAACACACTAGCAATGATGAGCTTATATGTGGAAGTGACGAATTCTCATTGATTTGCAATGGCTAAAGTGGCCAAAAACAACCTGAACTTCTACTTTCCTAGTAAAGTTGGATGGCGCATTCTTAGAAGTAAACGAGTGACTCTGCGCAAGGGACAGATAACACCTTCGATGATGTGGTAAAGTCATTAGTAACTGGAATATTGTATCTGTGGAAATTACTTTTTTAAGTCAGGTTTTCTGTTGTGGAAGTTGTCTAAATCTAGTGCTATGGGTAGCGTAGTCGTTTTAATAAACTTATACTGATGCACTTTTATATTCATTAAATGAGGTGTCTTTTTTCAAAATATCAGTTATGAAGAAAATGGATATACCATGTGACAAATATAAAAATAACAATCTCCAATGAAAGTATTCATTATTTCTACATGTCTTTTTAAAATATTTGTTACCTTGTCCCAACAATACCCCTTTTTCGAAAGGCCTTTAATGTGAACAGAAAATAATACAAAATAATTGCATGAGATGAAAATAACTGTAATTTTTATTGAAATTACACTGTAGTTACTTTATAGGTGGAAGGGTTTGGATGTTCTGACCTGGCAATGACAAATGTACTTTGTTTCCTAGTTGAACATTTTATTGTTGTAACTGTTTAACATCAGTAAGTTTCCATTTAAGCTTCAGTTATTCTTGAATGACGGCTTAAGTTTAAAGATCAATTGTTCAACAGTGCGTTTTTCTGCATCCTACAATATCAGCCTAGGACTTTGCAACATCCACACCACCTATTTATGTTATTTTTGCCTAATTCAGTTAAGCCTCGCAAAGATGTGCTGTGTTCAAAAGTGATAAAGACATTTATTTCTGCGGAAGAGTGGAATTTTTCTTTTCTTTTTGCTATATTTCCTAATTGACCTTTGGGGTTAAATTTAACTCCGTTCGATATGATACCGCACTTTGTTGGAATTGCCCATTAATTCATTTTCCATGTTCTCCAGTCGAATCGATTTTCTGCTGTCGTCGGTGTTACTGTCGAAATGCATTGAAGGTAATTTCAGTGTTAGTTGTTGTCATGTATGAAAGAGTCATTCATCCAACCGTTTCAGAATGCAGTTTGAGATAGGGTGACTTTTAAAGGAATGCGTATGTACTGTATGTGAATGATTTTGATCAATTATGCAGTAAATCGAGACCCGTACAAATATTTGATTGGTTAAGCATCGAAATTAATTGATATCTTAATTGGATAGGTTGGTATTTGAGGACAGTACTTAATAGTTACTTTATAGTTATGTCTTTATTTCGGCCTGAACAAGAGAATATTATGTAGAGATTTCATACAGTTATTATAAAGCTGCTATATCAGAAGTGCTATGTTGTCGTAAAAGCTCTCTTCAGTACCCTCTAAGTGTAATACAGTAGTCTCATATTTTAACAATTGCAAAAGCCGAGTTTTATATTCCTTTAAGAAACATAATTAATCGAGTCAAACCTGCAAAAGTCAGCAGTAGTTATTTATGCTTTTGCTGAACATGGTATTTGGATTTTCTAAACAGTTTCGCAAGAAATTCGTGTGGTTCATATGAAATGAAGTCGCTACTCTCCCGGAAGAGAACGTGCTGGGTAAAGCAATGGTCTTGCCGTCTGTGATTTAGTGCATTTGTGCACGATTCATGAAAATATTTTGTTATTCCAGAATCTAACGTGGTACTTGAATGAGAAGACGTGAAGTGTGAGATGTATGGAAGTACTGATCTACTTGAAGTTGACGAGAATTTATGCCTGCTTAGTTCAGATTCCACTCAAACTGAAGATGATGATGGTTCGTTTTGATTATTTTATAGTAATTCTTTCGTATATAACATGAAAAAGCACTAATAAATTACTTTTCTTCAATTTCTGAATAGAATGTTTGGAAAGCAGTGTATGGTAGAAAATTAGAAAACTCTAACAGCGAAACACTGATCTCGAAATAGTTCGAAAAACAAATATCTGATGATCTGGATGAGTTGATATACATAATATCAGTATTATATATGATGATTCAAGTATTGAAAATGTTTACTCTGTGAGTGGCACATATTTATCATGTAGAAATGCTTCATTGTGTATCGTTATCAGCTTTTTTTTGATTATTTCATTTATCGCTTTTAGTTTTCTTGTGCTATCCTCTTAACTATTGCTTCGTCTATCGTTTTTTATCATATGTAAGTACATGTGTCACTATTAGCATCTGTTGGTGTTACAGACTTTAGTGATAGTTTTCTAATATTTGGTCTCGACTTCAAAATGAAAATTTCTTTGATTTGACGATTATCTCTTTTAAGCAAAATGAAGAGTACACACTAACTAACTTGTTCCTAACATCGTCTTTTTTCGAACTCCCAGTTAGTAATTGAGCTTCGTTCCAATTTGCATGTGCAAATTATTCATGAGATATCTCGTTTTAGCATTATATTATGATCAATTGAAAAACCGACATTGCCTTTGTGTGTAAATTTGATCTTTGCATCCGTGATGTTTCATTGTTATTGACTTACGGACTGTTACAAACATTCCAGTAAACTTTAGCCTTTGTCATTGCCTTAATATATAGGCATGCTTCACTTCCCATTTCTGTTTGTTTTGTTAGCCTAACCTTATTGAAGTATGACTGTTTGTTCGCCGATACATTCTTCGTAATTCTTTTTATTTCATTATATTTTTGCATATCATTTTTATGTATTCTCTCTTGAGTGTAGTGGCTGAAACACTTAACGCAGTTGTGAAATTTGACTTGTTGATCGTTTGCTTTACTGACTTCGCGAAATGTTTAATGGATATAGCCTTTCTGGGGAACTCATTGGTCGAATGTGAATGACATTTTGTTTCATTCAACGGATTTACGTCTGCTGACGAGGGTAAACTTCTGTCTAACAAGGTTATGTTTCGGGAATTGAGTGGATGACGTGATGCAAATGCTTTATTTAAGTCATTTTAGTCATGTTATTCATTTCATTCATTTTTTTTTTCTGGTTCTTTTAGTTTTATATGAAACCAACTTTATCTTTTCCCAAATTATGGATCGACTATTTTTAATAAAACTTTTTCTCTTCTTTGTTTTGAAAGAGAGAAGACCATCAGTTTGGGCCACAGAAATTATGGCGTAAAGCAGGTTTGATTTAAGTATTTTTTTGAAATTCATTTTATTATTTCAGTTTGTCTTTAAGAATTGATTGTAAATTCACATTTAAGATGAAAAGTCATTTCTCAACAGCACTGCTTGTAAACAGTAAAACAAAATGAATAACATGATTAAAGTGATTTAGATAAAATTTTTTGTTTTTAATTGTTGAAGTTTATAAGAAAAGTTAAGTTTATAAGAAAATCGTTAAGTTTTGTGGGTAGTATTGCTATGCATATTGATCGTTTCGTTTTGAAAGTTATTTAAATGTCAGTCGTTTCTTATTAAGATAGGTTTAGTATTCTCATTACATCTTAGAACATTCTCATAAGCAAGTATTTATAGAATACTTAGTGAAGTTAACAGAATATTCTAAATAACGAGACGCTTCAGATATAATATATTGGCAGTAGGGTCTTCAATTATCTCTTTGCCACATTTTATGAAGTCTTATAGTATTTAAGATGCAGTCGTCGAATCCTTTATCTTTGCAGAGAACGTTGGAAAAAATGCAAATGCTTATGCACGTTCAGGTGCATTTCATTTCTGTTTAAGCAGTACTTTATTTTTATCAGTTGTAACCATTTTAAGCTATCTGCTCATCATAAACGTCGAAGTTTTCATAAATTTATGATTGATTAATTTACAAAATGACGGAAACTGCGAGAATAATGAGGGCATCGTAAAGAGCTTTTAATATAAGAAAATATAGAGTCCTATTATATCATTACTAAGATAGCTCGATCATTTTCTTTGGAATTTAATCAATAATTTATTTCTTGCTGAAATGCATCCCGTTGACTATGTTTTGTGTTGTGATTGTTTTTTTTTTTTATTTGCATACCTATGATCCATGAAATCAGTTGTTTTTGTAATAATTGTAGATCCTGATCCGATGTCGGAAAAAAATGCAAAGGATATTATTCATCCGGAGTCTCACATGCTTAAAAACCGAGTTAAAATACCAGAGGTTCCACATTCGGTAGGTTAATAATTAAATTTTTTATGTTATGCTGAGAACTTCTTACGTAGCTCTTATCTAGTAATATGAAGAAAGCTTATTTCTAAATCTTTTTCTTTTAATGGGAGTTCACAGCGCTCTTACATCT